TGGGTGTCAATCTCATTAATGGAGTGTTGGCCTCCTAAAAATATAAAAACTAAAACAAAGTTAAACGTCTACTATTAATAACTTGTTTATATATGATAATATTTGTGTTAACTTACATTATTTATTGTCGCATATGGTATTAAGTCTTCCCAATCCAACATACGTTTCCTCTTCCAGGAAATAGCCCTAGGAATATCATCTGAGGATTTTAATGCATATGTCCGCATGCTGGGGAAAGCCTCGAATATCCAAATCTACAAACAATATAATAACAAACATTAGTAATTGTTAAATAATTAATTATAATTTTGAAAACATTATATAGAAATTCTTACCTTAAAGGCCCAAACAAAGCCTGACAAAGTGTATTTCGACCCATCGCCCCGCAAACTTTGCGGTCATCAAAGGCAGACGACAACTTAGTCCAGGTAGCTTTCCATATATACGAACCCCACGAAAACAGATTCCATGCATTTAGGTCCTCTACCAATAATATTAGCTCCTGAGGAATAGGTTGTCTGGCCTCTCTGCCTAGAAAGCCGGCATACAAAAGTAGTAGAAGGCATACTCGGACAACATCGACGTCATTCATCCGAGTAAAACCATCTTTCTTATTAAACAATTTCTTCATGTCGTCGACGTGTAAGTTCGGCTTCTCTATTGACTCATCAGGAAAACCCTGGATAACCATGATGGGCGGGTGATAGACGAGTGTACCAGCCTACATCATCGTGTCCGAATCGTAGACCAGTGATTAAGCAGAACTCCTTCCGCCCAAAACAAGTATACGCCGGTGGAAAATGAAACCATATATCTTCCTCACCACGTTGTATACTGTCGGGTAGATCGCTAGTCATGTCTGAAGCCACAAATGGGTCAAACTAGCATCTCCACCCGGATGTTGTACTCTCAGCCATGGCCCGAAGCAGGTTTCTTCAAACAATTTTCTTTGTGCAGGTGAAAGCTTCGATGCAATTGTAGTGGCTAGGCTAACTTTATTCCTTAATGTCAATGAAGCCGAAAAAAATTTCTACAAAAAAACAATAAACATACCAAGTTAGATATACCAAAAATTACACTGTCAAGATATACCAAAAACAAAACAATAAACATAAATAGTAGTTTATTCTTGAAACTAAAATTTGCAACACTGTTTTTGTCTTTTGGTTGAAATGAAAATCGCAACGAGATAATGAGAATCGCAACGAGATAATGAGAATCGCAACGCGGAAATGACTATCGCAACGAGAGAATCGCAACGCGAAATGACTATCGCGGCCAGACAATCGCAACGCGAAATGAAAATCGCAACCACGAAATAAAAATCGCAACGCGAAATGAAAATCGCAATGCGATTTTGGTTTCGCGTTGCGATTATCTCGTTGAGATAGTTATTTCCGCGTTGCGATTTTCATTCTCGAAACTATTCTTCTTCTGCATTACTTCAACCAAAAGACAAAGCAAAGACAAATACTAACTTCACAGGCTAAACAGTTTAGCAGTATTGGCAGCAATCGAATGAATTTAATAAGAAATCTAAGTGAAATGGTTAATCTATTATTGAAATTACCAGTAAACTTATCATCAATCTCAATATGAAAAACCTAAAATAATGCAAAAAATTCAAAATAAAAATAAAAAAAACTAACCCTCGGAGGTTGATTTTCCATTTCTGAATGATTGTGAGGGATTTTTTGACTGTGAATGGTTGTGAGGGATTTCGCCGGCGATGGGGACGGAAATCTTCGGAGATGGGGACGGATTTCGCCGTAGAGAGTGAAAGATGGAGATGGGACTGAGTGTTGTGTTTTTGGGTTTGAGGTTATGAGTTGCGATTACTGTGGACGGTTCATTTTCCGATTTATTAAGAAAAAATACGTGTTTGGAATTTGAAAAAAAAATATGCGTTAATACGAATGGCGCTATGTAAATCGCGTTGCGAAAGTTAGTATCGCGTTGCGAAAGTAAGTATCTCGTTGCGATTTTTTATTATCGCATTGCGATAGTAAGTATCACATTGCAATTTTCCCAATTCGCGTTGCGATTTACTTATTCGCATTGTGATTTTCCCAATTCGCGTTGCGATTTACTTATTCGCATTGCGAATTGGGAAAATCGCAACGATACTGTAGACCATCGCAACGCGATTTTCAACTATCGCATTGCGAAAATGCAACGCGAATTTGCGATAATGGAGATCGCGTTGCGAATTAGCGATGACATTGCGATTTTGTTGCTCATTTTGGCAAATCCGGAAAAAGTAGGTTAAAATCGTATATTATATGGGATTTTTGGTCACTGAGGTTAATTTCTCTAAATAAAAATAAATCAAAGAAATAAAATGAAAATAAAGGAAAAAATTTAAATAAATCAAAAAAATATTATTTTGAAAGTAATAAAATATAAGTAAAAATAAATAATGCTAATAATAATTAAAAAACATGATAATAAACAAAATAAAATAAAATAAGAATTTAGGGATCAAATTGCAAAGAATGTAAAATATAAATGGAGACCAAATTGAATCAATTGAAAATCAGTGGCCAAATTGCATATGGTGACTGAAACGAATTACACTTCAGAACATGGGGGACGACGGAAAGAATTTAAGATTTTGATATTTGCATCTTAGTCCCTCGCATATAAATAAGCAAAAACCCAAAAAAAAAATTCATTTTGAGTAAAAACCCAAAAAAAATCAGATAACACCTTTAAACGCTCTCCATTTCCTCGATGGTCGGCCAAGCGTCGGTCTCCTTCCTCGACCCATCTCCACCGTGCCGCCGTCGCTCTGGCCGCCACATCCGACTGCCGAAAAAAATTCGACCCTACCAAAATGACCCCTCAACGCCGTGAACACTAACTCGAAGCCTAAACTCTCAAAAACCCCGCCAATCGGAATAGATCTAGGTTTAAAGTTTCAGTTTTTACCCTTTTTAGTCGATGACTCTAGGTTTTATGGTGACCGTCGGTTTAGTCTCACGGTTGCTTTGTTTCGGTTGTTTTGGTAAGAAAAAGCCTCGCCTTTATGCGTTTTTTGTTTTAGCTTTTTGCTGTGGGGCTTCGGCCTTTGGGTTCGATGATTCTATTTTTTCCTTGTTTGTTGTGTTGTGTGCTTTGACTCTGTGTTCCGATGATGTTTTCAGTTTGTTGATCGGTTGTGTGTTCGTGGTTCTATCTATTTTTGTTCGATGTGGTTCTGGTTTACTATTTGATGGCTTTAGATGATGGTGGTTTTCGGTCCCCTTCTTGCATGGCCTCACCGGGGTATTTATAACCCCTCGGTAAAGGTCGTTTATGATGAAAATGGGGTCGTTTCCCTCAACGTTCACGTGGCCGGGATTCTCGTGATGATGCAGTCCCGATTTTCCCGGCCGGTACGCCGTTTGACTGCCTGGTTTCCTTGGCTTGTGCGACGCTGTTGACGATACCATCTTTAGGGTTCCAAACCCTAAACTTTAACGAGCTAAATCAGGCCCATTCATTCAGACTCTGTTGGACTGGATTTGGACCCCGACAAAAAATGAAATGAAATTAAATTAATAACATGATATGAAATAAAATAAAATAAATATTAATAATAATATAGATTATATAATATATATGTTTTAAAAAAATATTCTTTAAACTATATATTATATTTAAAAACGTTTTCAAAACTATATTATATAGTTTTCAAAAATGATTTTAAAAATAATATATAAGTGTTCCAAAATGTTTTTTTAAAACTATATATTATATAAATTTTCCAAAAATGTTTTTTTTAAAACTATATATTATATTTTCAAAATGATTTCAAAACTATATACTATATACTTTTCAAAATGTTTCAAAACTTATATATTGTATATAAGTTTTTAAAAACGTTTTAGAAAACTATATAATATATATTTCAAAAAATAATTTGAAAACTATATATTATAGTTTTCAAAAACATTTTCAAAAATTATACTATATTACTATAATAAAAATAAATATATAAATTAAAAACCCAAATTCAGATGAAAATGAGTGTCTATACTATCAAAAAGATCCACCCTTCAATATTGATGGTCAAATTAGTGTTTTAATTAATAGTTTATATAAAGTAATTTGGTTTTTTTTTAAATATATATATCTATATATATTGATGATCAAATTTAATTAAATTTACTCTTATGTGGTATTAATTATAAATTCATATAATATAAGAGGAGAGTGTTGTAAAAGAAGATATGAGAGAATATAAAACTACAAGTTTTAAGTAGGATGGTAATATTTAGGTTTTTAAAATTTTATCTTAGTTTTAACTGGTACAATGTAAACATTTGATGTGTATTTTGTATCATATAAGAAAGATATATCCCGTCTTCCGAAATCCATAACAAATGTGGTGTATTATTTATGTAAATAATAATAAAAATATTATTCAAATAAAAATCATATGTTTATTATTATATTTCCGTAAGATGTAAATAGAAATAAATCTAAATTGAAAACTTTAATATACTAATATTTACCTATAACGTAACAAAATCTCAAAATCTTAAACTTCAATTTTAGCGATACCATTAAGATTTTATTGGCTCATATTGATTTTTCAAATCCAACTTTTATTTACATTCCAAAATTTTATTTTTGAGTGAAACATGATTAGATGTTATAATTTATAGATATGGATTTAATTCCTTTTAAAGTAAAGTAGATTCACATCTTCCATTATCTGTAGTTATTACCAACTGCTTACGAAGACTTCTATAAATTCTTTTTTTTTTAAAAACCAATTCGTTGTCTATAAGAAGAAGAGAAGCAATCCGCAATGGCGGTAGACGCCGCCAAGGCAAAATCAACGTAAGAACCGGAATAAACACGAGCCAAAGCGGGAACTCCGAGGCAAGAGGTTTGGACGACACAGCTGGAGACAGGCTGTCACCCAACCAAGTCCCACTCACCTGTTCCCCAAAACTACGTTCTTCCTTTATTTTTTTCTCCTCCTCTCTCTCTCCCCCCGAATTTTGATTTTTACTTTGCAAACCAGTTCTAGGGTTTCTTGATCCCTTTCTTCGATTCTTTGTTTCGCCTCCCCATATCAGCGGATCGAGATTATTCTCTTTGTAAGGACTTCCCCGGTCTAACTTTCTATCCATTTTTGTTGTTTTTTGGACTTTCTCCCTTTGTATTGTTGATATTATCGTTTTCTTATAAATTTTTTGATGAAATTTGGTGGCATTTTATCATAATGATGGTACTGCACGCACTAATGAATTTTAGGTAGTTAATTTTTTCCATATATTCAAAATGCCGATATTTGAGTCATTGATTAGCTGGGGATTGTAGGTTTTTTTGAAGTTTGAATTATTTGTAGTTAATGATAGGAAAATTCAACGAAAATAACTTTATTGAATTTGCAACTTTTGTTAATTATTTTAAAATCAGAGTAAATATTGCCTATTTCTTCAATGGTAATTGCAGAAAAAGCTCCCCCTCTGTTTTGTTTAGGCTCAAATTAATAGGGAAAAAAAACCTAGATGAATTGTTTAGATTTGTAGTGAGGTTTTGGCCATCAATTTAATCATTTTTAGACCATAATAAATTAAGTATAATGGTGGGGATTCTCTATTAGGGGAAACACTGATAGATGAACACGGAGGTGTTCGATTCAAAATTCATTCATTTGACTGTTTTGATTAATTTCTTGTGACTCAAGTGACAATATCGACAGTGCTAATGTGATTTTGCCATCTTGTCGTAGTTATGGCATGTGATTAAAACATTTCTGGATGCTTTAGTTGAAGTGCTTACTTTGATTTGCTAATTAGGAAGCAATTTATTGTCAATCTCTAAATGATTGAAGTTCTTTTATTTGCTAATCATGTAAAAAACTTAAGTTGTCTTGCTTAGATAGAAATTATTTGCTGAAATGCTTAAGATCTTATCCATACCATTTATATCATCTTGTGGTCAATATCATTGTTACTTTTGCTTTTGTTGATGTGGAAACTAATGGCCTCTCTTGTCTCAAATGTTTAACTAAGATGACCTAAGACATAAATAATGCTGCACATTACATTAAATACTTGTGTCTTTCTAACCATGAATGATCATTTTTCCTAATATATATTTTATAAACGAGCTTGTCATTGCTGTTGATTTAAATGGGGTGAGTCTGCACCAGCAGAGCTTGATAACCGCACTGCATGATCTGAATAATCAATTTAATATGATTCTTGTGTTTCACATTTACCTGGTTATATTATGGTTTACATACACATGAAGTTTTTTTTATAAGATTCTGGGTATTAGGTGATTCAATGACTCCCTGTTACTTGCTTTCTTTGTGGTAATTTGATAACATGCGTCTAAAATTTTATTTGTTTTTGTAAGTTTCCATAAAATTGAAAGTCTAGAACTTTTGTCACCATTTTTTCTTTTATAGAAGTAGTTGTGTGGCTGAAAGTGGTTGGTTTATCATATTGTACTGAATGTCATAGAAATCTTTCTCCTTTTGTTTTAAGGGTTCCTCTTCATGATATTTTTGGGTAGTTGTTGATTTATTACCTTAATTGTGCAGGTTATTGGACAGAATAATTAAAGTTTGAGCTAAATCATTGAGTTAGTGGTTGAAGCAGCACTCTGAATTTGCCATTTGTAAGTTTTGAATAAAATTTTGCTAGACATGCATGGATCTAGTAGATGGGCAAGAAATTACACGAGTTAATATAATAATGCAGCTTTATCATCTTTGCACATAGATAACCTTAGAATTGTCCAGTATTTATTCAGTAATAGCTCTGGATATATTTCTTAGAAGGTCGCTTGTACGCTATCAGAGGATCCTTTGTATACATGCTGGCAGAGAGTATGCGTGGAATCTGTGTTTCGGGTAATGCCCCTGAAGATATATTCTGCCGAAGCATTCGGTGTGTTGACAATTTGTCTAGTTGGATTGTTGGTTCTTCTTGGTTTGGTATGCATTGCATACTTGTTTTATTTGCGTTCACGTGTTCTTAGACAAGGATTTATTCAGATTAGTTATTTCAATGGGCCTTGGATCATCCGAATCTCATTCATTTTGTTCACCATTTGGTGGGCTTTTGGTGAAATTGTACGGCTAAATTTTCTAAGACGACAAGGAATAGTGTTGAATGCATTCAATTTGACATGGCAAGAAAACATCTGCAAATGTTACATCGTGTCAAATTTAGGTTTTGCGGAACCTTGCATGTTCCTCACTCTCGTTTTTCTTCTTCGTGCTCCTTTACAAGATATAAACACTGGCATCCTGAGCAGAAAATGGAATGGGAAAACAGCAGGCTATGTTATTCTCTTCTGCCTCCCTGTGTTTATTCTTCAACTTATTTTGATTTTGATTTTACCAGAGTTAGGCAAGGGAAGAGAATTGTCACCATATTTCACAAGAACAATTGTTCCAGCGAGGCAAAATTCTGATGACATTGCTCTTTGCACTTACCCTTTACTGAGTACTGTTCTTCTAGGGCTTTTTGCCAGCATCTTGACTATCTACTTGTGTTGGATTGGTGGGAGGATTATAAAATTGGTTATCAACAGGTGTTTGCGGAAGAGAGTTTACGCATTAGTTTTCTCAGTTTTGAGTTTACTTCAGTTAAGGGTTGTTTTACTTGGTTTATCTGTTTTATCTAAACCAGAGCAATTTATGTTTGAAGCTCTTGCCTTCTCAGCCTTTTTTGTCCAACTATGTTGTGCTGGGGTATGCATTTGCATACTTGTATACTACCCTGTTAAGGATTGTCTAGTCCTCGGGAATCTTCATGACTTGGAGGCTACAAGTGTTTTTCTAGATGTTCAAAACGACACTGTTTCTCTTATCTCTAATCAGAACCAGCTCGAAGGAAGTCCTGGAATTAACACACGGAGGAGTTTGGATGCCTCTACCTCGACTGGGGCATTTGTGGAACTGAGCCGCTTCTCCGCTACTTGAAATGCAATCCAACCAGGATAACCTCTTTTTGTACCTGTTCCTATGCTCATGGACCCTATAAGAAAGTAAAACTCAGTAGTTGTGATGGATATCAATTTTGTGGGTTAAAAGAAACAAATTCTGATTGTAAAGGGTTGTACCTTCAATAAGGATTCTTATTTCTTGGCATGTTTTTCTGATTTTAGCTATGAAGGTTTCGTTGGGTGCAATCAATTACACGAATACCCGGCTGTTAACATTCTTGTAGCCGTTGTTTTTAATATGCATCCATGGTTGTTTAAATTTACAAAAATTGCAGGGTTATGAATTTGAATTTTTTAACATTTTAAGTTACGTTTTTCTGCAGTGTCATTGCCAATTTGTTGCAATTTCTGGATGATGAATACACGTCAGGTAGCCGTCAGCCAATAGGGGCTGGGCACTGTTGTAAGTATTAGCTTATCAGGCAAAAGTTTTAGTTATACGGTAAACGTCAGACTCAACGTCAACTCCTAATACCGCATAACTAACCTACCGGACTAGCAAATGGAGGTCACTTTTCTAATATTTAGAAAAGCTGAAAAGGAAAATAAAACTATACATTTAGTGACATGTTAATTAACAAAATTGATATAATTTTACATTTAATCTTTAATATTATAGATTCTCAGTTATAATTTTAATATAATTTAAAAAATTAATTCTTCAATCTAAAAGTATCACATGTCAATAGATTATTGCGACACATTTACAAATGACACATGTCATTACTTATATAAAAGAAAACAAAATTGATATAATTATACATTTGATCATCAATACTATAGATTTTATCAGTTAGTCTTAATTTTAATTTAACTTAAAAAATTAATCTCCCATCTAAAGGTATCACGTATTATTACACATTTACAAATGACACATGTGTGTAAATGGAAAACAAATTATGAGTGAAGTGCATTCTCAAGTACTCAAACTAGGGACCATTGTTGTTTCGTGAGCACACCTTAACCACTAGAGTAAATGCTCCATGCGTAATAAATTTGCAAACTTTATTATATATTTTGATTTAGATTAAATTATTGTTAATACAAGATTTAAAAAAAATGAATTTAATATTTTTTATATTTTTAAATTAAAATATTTTTCATAACTATTTTTATATATTTATATATGAATGATATTAAAAAGTAAAATTGTATTAAAAATTCATTTAGATAATCCAAAGTAAAATAACAACTTAAATCATAAAAACGAATATATAATTTGAATCTTAATTTTTTCTTCAAAAATCTTTTTAGAACTATCATCTACTTTGCCTTAATTTTTTCTCTTATCTTTGGTTACCGTTAGTATCTTTTCTTCTTCATCTTGGTGATCGACTTCGACAACAGTCTTAATGATGGTCACCGACCGTCAGTATTCATTATTTTCCTTTATTTTATCATATCGTTTTTTCTCTTTTTTTAATTTTAAATACATCTGTCTTTATGACACATTTTATTTTTGTCTTTATATCACATTTCCTATACTTTTATGACATGTTTTTTATTGTTTGATTGTTGCTTTTTTTTATTGTCTTTCTCAGGATTGGACTTGTCATTACCACAAACGATCAAGTTGGCGCTTATTTGTTATCACGATGATCTTTCTGCTTTGGACCTCATATTGAATTTGGATACGCGATTTGTGTTTGTGGATAGTTTTTCACGTTGCTCAACTTTGATTTGTGATTTTTATGTGGTCTTTTAATAGCTTGATTCTCTTTTATGGTTCATTTATCTATGCGATCAAATCTATTCGTATGTACCTTTTGTTCAAGTTTATTTTGATAGATTTTTAACTTTTTCCTTGTATGATCCTTTTGTGATCTTAAGTAGCTAGTTTTCTTGTGGTAATAATTATTGGAAAATGTCTTTATTATGTGTTTTGTTTACAATTATGGTTGTAAAACTTTATTATAATTTAGATATTTTATATTTTTAATAAAACTAGATGTTTCTATTCAAAAAACTCTTTTTAGAATGCTTTCTTATTTACTTTAAATCTATAATCATTTAAAAATAATTATAAAAATAAAAAATAATTTAATTAAAAAATATAAAAGTATTAAGCTCATTTTTATTTTTAAATCTTACATTAACTACAATTCAATATATATATATAATTTATTTATTAGATTTATTCCAACAATTTAATATATGTGACATAATCTAAAACAAAATATATAAAAGAGATTGCAACTTCATTGCAAAATGCAACATTTAATAGTTGAGGCGTGACCAAGGGAACCTATAGACTTTTAAATTAAATTAAAATTAGAATTAAATTGATAGAATCTGTAAGTATCGAGAATCAAATGTATAATTATACTAATTTTGTTAATCCGAAAATAAAATATTGAAATAAAAGTTTAAGAACAAACAGTTTCCAGAAGATTCGACGAGCGACATTAGGTAAATTAAACTATTTGAAAATAAAAAGAAAAGAGAAACAGATTCTTGAGTATTCAAAATGTTTCATACACGCTTTCCCAATTGTACGCACTACACACCATAATTGATATTTTAAGTGTTTATATACAATTTGGCATTTAAAATTTATTTTTTTCGTTCAACTAAACATCTGAATTTAATATTTTAATTTGTTAAAAGTCTTAAATATCAACTTAGATATGAGGGTTAAGTTTAAGTACATTAGTGAATTAAAAATAATTTTAAGTATAAATTATGTATTAGAACCAAATTAAACAAGAATTAAATATAAAATTAAACTTTAAAACTAAATTCAAATATAATATTAGGGTGAGCAAAACTCGACTTGACTTGAAAAAATCAAACTTTTTTTTCAATTTCAAGTTATTCGAGTCAACTCGAATTATAAATTCGATTTTCGAGTTTGATTCGAGTTGAAATTTCAAACTTTTGAGTAACTCGAAAAACCAAAAATTTGAATGAGTATTTTGACAGTTTTGTGATTTAGTCCCTGATTTCCTATTCCTTAAATTCATCCTTCATTTTAAGTCAATTTTTACCAAATTTGAACCACTTGCCCCTAAACAATCATAGAATACATGTGTACTTTCAATTCAACTTTTTGATAACAAATATTTATTTTTTTCAATTTAGTCTCTCAATTTTGCATGTTTCCATATTTCTTCAATTCATTCTTCAGTACGTTTTTTTATCAAATTTAAACCACATGATCTCCTACCACTATAGAATACTTATGTAACTTCAATTCTTATTTTTCTAGTAAAAATATACTCTTTTTTAATTTAGTCATTTAACTTTACATTTTACTCAATTTAGTCTTTTGACTACAATTATTTACAAATTCTTTCTTCACATCAATTCTTTGACTATTTTATACTCTCATTAATCTTTTGTCCTCAAAATACCTTATTTGAAATATAATATTGTAAATATATTTTATAATTTTAGATTGTACGTGATATATTAAATAATATTGTAATGTGAAAAGAATATGAAGATATATATATATATATCTTATATAGTTAGAGAAAGTCAAAAAATTAGAATAAATTTGTACTATAATACTACAAATAATTATAATTAAATCTGCATAAAAACTCGAACTACTCGACTCAATTTGGAAAAAAAATCAAGTTAAGTTCGAGTTATAAAATATGACTGGTCAACTCGAATAACTCAAAATTTTTGACTCGACTCGACTCAATCGAATACTTACCCCTAATTAATATATATTTATCTATATGTTAACAACTTAGAATGGAATAATTTTCAAACACGTTCAAATAATATCATGTTAGAAAATAATTGGAAAATCTTTATTCAGAATTTTACTGCATCCACTTCTCACTTTTATCGTAAAATAATATTTTTCGTCCACTGTTGCTCTTAAAGTACAAGTTTATCTGAATTTACATAAAAATTAACGAGTTAAAAAAACTCAATACCAGTAGGTTAAAAAATGGTAATGTATTATACTTGCAAAGATTGGGTGTTTTGGTCATTTCGGCATTCAAATATCGATGTATCTAAACGCGTGGCGCCGGCGCGTGATTGTTGGAATCATATGCTTGCATTATATTATTGAAATAATGTACGCTCTAACCAAAGCTCCACCGCTGATCCTTCTATAAACCAACCCATTCCAAACAAAGCACAGTAAAGCTTTGATTAGTAAAAAGTAAAAACCCGCCTTCAATCTAAGTCAAAACCAATGGCCTCATTCGAGCAAGCGCCGCCCGGAGACGCGAAAATTGGGGAGAAGATCTTCAAGACTAAGTGCGCCCAGTGTCACACCGTAGAAAAAGGCGCTGGTCACAAGCAGGGTCGGTCCTCTCAGATCTGATTTTGTTGTTTTCTGATTTGTTTTTAATTTTCTGTGTTTATTAATGAGTAAATACAACATCTGTCCAATTTATTCCATGTTGATATCTTTTAAAATATTTTGCCAGAATTGTCTTGTCATTTGTTGTTCTCAGATTCGGCAAGTTTTCTCTTCGTAGACATAAACTGATTTAAAAGAGGCTCTTGAATTGAGAAAGAAAAATAAAGGATCTCTTAAGTTCCTAGGTTCCTTAGATTTGCATTGAAACACAGTGATTCAAACTGGTTTCTATGTTGATACAGATCTCTTCTTGATACAATTTGATGTTTTTATTTTTACTACCTCTTCCAAGTTCAGTGAAAAATATGTTGAGATTTGTTAAATTTACAGGGCCAAATCTGAATGGGCTTTTCGGGAGGCAGTCCGGCACAACTCCAGGGTACTCTTATTCCGCTGGTAACAAAAATATGGCTGTGAATTGGGGAGAGAACACATTGTATGACTACTTGCTTAATCCTAAGAAGGTATGTAGGAGTCTTTTTTTTTTCGTTTTCAGTATAATATTATAAATTTTACTTGTTATTGTAAGTGCATTATGTGACTGTGGTTATTGTATGGATTATTTCATGTCTATGAACCAGGGCTGTTTGGTTTCATATCAAATGTTGTAGCTTATCTTTGAACTTTCATTTGGGATCATATATTTAGAGGATCAAATATTCATTTGTAATATCAGCTAATTATGCCGATTTAAAATAACATGAGAAAGATTAGTTATTTACTTTTAGAGAGGAATAGGGGAACTGTGTGCTAGGTCACAAACCAACATGAGAAACCAATGAAATGGACGTGTTTGGTATTATTACCTTGTTGGCAGCAAAATATTAATATAGCTGTTATGTATTGATCATTAGTGTCATAAATGACAATTGACATTAATGCATACAAAGGGTTTTTATCTGTTGGAAATTTGAAGATACACTTTTTTTCTTTAACATAAAGTGGCAAGGATGTTATTAGCACAGTTTTATTTACGTACAAAGGATGAGCATACTTTGGGTCCAAAGAAATCGTCTCTTGTTGATATTGTTTTGCATCAAAAGGTCATTTTTTACAAGACTTTGTAGTAGCGTAGTCATTGCTGTTGATTTCTGTTGCTGTCCCTGTAGGTAAGCTATCTGGATAGTTAATCTGATTTCAGAACGACAACGTATATAATATAGATTCATGATTACTTGTTGGCTTTATGCTTTTGGTGTTATTAACTGGATTTAGCTTAGGTATGAAGTAGATATCTCTATACAAGGACAGCTAAGTTTACTATCATTTTTTGCCTCAAGCATGGAATTCATTGTTGTATTGGAACTGATTCGTTTTGCTGGTTAAATTTGCTTTTGTAGTACATTCCTGGGACAAAGATGGTTTTCCCTGGATTGAAGAAGCCACAGGATCGTGCTGACCTTATTGCTTATCTGAAGCAATCAACTGCTTGATGGGTCTGCTTCATATCAGCTATTTTGGAACAAAGGAAGAGTTTTGCACTGTGATTTTTTTTTGACATGATAAAAAAACTAGGCGTTTCTTGAAATAAATAGGAAAAAAAAAACAATCCAAGATAATATGGGCTTTGGAGTAGAACCGAGTAGTTGAAAGATTTTGTGTACGATTACGAAACTTTGATGATTATTTAAGCTCCAACAGTTTCACTGTTAGGTGGGCGTTAACTTCTTATGATGATTTTAATTCTCGATGAGATTTGAATTGGTGGATATGCTGGGTAGATTAGAATTATATATTCATTTAGACTTTAGTGAATATCTCATCTTTCCAGAATGAATACTTAAATAACTATCGACACATCTTCAACCCTCGATTAGATTTGTCTTTTTTCCTTTGCAAAAGGGATTGAGATTGGGAAAGAAATAGGCAAGGTTCACGATTTGGCCTTTTTCACTATGGTTTTTGAAGTATCACTTCGTCTAATTTCATTGATACCATTTAAAAAGATAGGTGTACATCTGACCTCTGAGAAGATGTTAGTCAATGGTCCATCAACATTCATCAATGCCCCATCAACATTCATCAATGCCAATGCAATATATGGATGTTTCCATTGATGGTATGGTTAAAATAAAGTCAGGTGATGAAAATAAGTATGATATAGTTTTTGGGCTAAAAAATTATGGATGGCAGAAATTTTCAAGTTAAACTCTAAAATGTTAGAAATGATTACTATAAACAATAAAAGGAGCTGTGTCCAAAAGGATTGACTTCACCGAAGATTCGAATTCAAAAAATTTCGTTATTTTTGGATAATGAACCTAGAAAATGAGTGGAAAGAAAATGCAAGAGCATAAGAACATCTTAAAGCAGATGAGAGGGAGAAGTAGATTTAGTTGTGTGAAAAACAGTGAGGAGAGATTTTCATTTATAAGAAAAAATAGAGGGATAACTTGATTAAAAAAAAGAGAATTTTGTTTTTTAAAAAATAAATTGTGTTCAAAAGATACGTATTATACATATTAAAGATGCATGATATCACAAATTAATTAAAGTAATTGGTGCCAACATCACACGTGAATGCGTTTTCTTTCCGATTACTTAATATGAAATAGTCCAATTCTTTTAAAGAAAAAAAGAAATACATTAGAATAATTCATACTAAATATGAAAAACTAACCAGAATCTAATCATTATAAATCATTAAGAATTAAAATACTAGATACGAAAACGTATCTGAATTAATTGATAGGTTAAAATATTTAAATCTTTCTTGATTGCGATTTTTCAAGAAGATAAAATTCTCTTAGTATAAACTCTCTGACGGGATAAGATATATTCTTTGGGACCATAACCAATTTATATAGCTGATTTAAGAATCAATTATTGTCTATACTTATAACTCAGTCCCTCGTCGAATTATAAATACAACTTTAATATTATATATACTTTTATTTCCATAATACTTCTTATACCTTATGACTTTATAACATAATTGCTTAATTTATGTCATATTTTTTTTATAACAATATACATTAAAAATATGTGTCCATAATTATAAATTTTAATCCAATAATTTCCCGTTTGGACAACATATGTTTTCTGATAAATGTATACCTTGTTAGTTCAAAATTTGTTATCATGCAATGCGTATTATATAACAATCTCGTTCATCAACTATATCTATATAGGATTCAAACGGCCTTTGCCATATCACTCATGACTAAACCCATCAACAATCATGTATACAAACACAGTTAAATGACATAGAACAATCATAGAGCGTAGCATGAAAATTGCATGCAACATGAACTGCACATGTCTATTTTCAATTGATCATCTTTAAATAATAGTGAGATCAAATTTTACCAAAACGAGAGTATGTATAAATCAAAAACAAATTTTATTTTTGTATAAAATAATCTTAAAATAATATACTTAAACTAAAGCAACTAACATTGTGTTATAACAAACAAACATTTTAAGTTACGAACTCTCACTATAACTAAATTTTTTTAAATGATATTACACCCACATAAGTAGTGTACTCATGAAAGATTTTGGGTGACAGTTCATTAATAAGCGCGCAATTATGAGTTTGTACCAATATGCTTTATAAACACATAACCACTCTTAATTTTCTTTAACAACTAGCAACATAATGTTTATGTGTTTAGATTTTTGAGGGTGTGTCTGTTGTATATAGAATAAACGATTGCAACTTTGCTGTCATAAAATAACTCAAGTAATATTTCTTATTAATCCATAATTAGCAGTTCACGTAACAAAATTTTAAATTCTAATAAATCAAAATCCATAAACCTGATGATTTCTTACTTACTAGACTTGCGATATGTGAGCATGTAATATTTTTGTTCTTAAACCTTATAAGAATATAATATGATTTTAGAGTTTTCAATTGTGCAAAATTACACAAACACCAAAAAAATCTTAAACTTAACTTGGTTGAAGTTCAAATTCGAACCTGAATCTTAAGTATATGAAAATATTATATTGTATTTTTAAAAAAAATCAACACATAAATGTTAATGTTATTAATAATTTAATTTTTTAAAAATAAAATTTTAATATTTTAATTTTTTGAATTGTTTGCGAGCTTTTCGAGTCGAGTATCAAGTAGCTCGTTTCGGCTCGTTAAGAACTTGAGTCGAGTACATGCGAGTCGAATATTTATCGATATTTGATCGTAGCTCGTTTCGGCTCGTTAAGAACTTGAGTCGAGTACATGCGAGTCGAATATTTATCGATATTTGATCGAGTCAATCTCGAATAACTCACGATCTATCCCGTCTCATTTATAAAGCATCCGAAGTTTATAGGTGTTAGCCCAAGGACAATAGGAAAAGGACGGTTAAAGGAAAGGGATGTGGGTAGAAGAGGTGTTGACGTCCAAATAGGGAAGGAACTCCATTGTAGTCCATGCAGACCAAGGGACTGTAGTTGGACATTTATATATACATTAGCAATTAGGGGATGTTTGGTTATAGGAATTAGTGGTTGTACAATGAAAGCATATAGTTGTTTTGGAAGAATAATTTCAAGCTAACATGTATGAATATGGTTTTAATCTTTGGTGAAGTTTGATTTCATTTATATGGGCGGACAAAGGAGCTTAATATATCACATGAATTTGGTTGACACAAGTACATTGCCGACACTCATATTCCTTTGTTAGTTGCATGTAATTTTGTGTAGGACCATGCATCAAATTCTAATGTTTAATTAAAATAGATGCTAGGAATTCTAATGTCCAATGAATGATTGAAGTAACTAATAACAATATTTTGTTTGACATCTACCATTATTTTTCTGCACAAACAAAACCATCTTTTTCGTGTACTGATGAATGAAATAAAAAAAGGCAAACACCAATGCGCTCATTGATTCTTCTGCTTCTTTGTCATCATCGCCATAGGAATCTTAATTCAATTTCTCTCTCCGTCGGAGGAGGCAACCGAGAAAGTGGAATAAACGCCGACGTGTTAAAATTTAAATACCAATGCAAAAAACAAGCAGCCTGCCAATACTTTTATTTATTTTCTAAGACGGTGACCCGCAATAAAGAGCATGTGCTTTGAGGCTGTCTAGCAACACATATTTGTCTTCCAGCCTCAACTTTTGTCCCCACCATTTTTGGTGTTGCTCTCCTTTCATCTTCCTACTACCTTTGGTTTCCCCTTTCATTGTTCTAGCATAATAATTTCTCTCTTCTATATGTGACCTCCACTAACCTTCTTACAGCACCGCCGACTTCTCTCGTTGTCTCTGTTCCACTTCCCGATGTTGCTATCCAAGAAACAACCTCCTGCTGCTGCAACACAATGGATAGAGAAAGTCAAGTACCAGAAACACAAAGAACCCTACTTCAAGTTCTTCGTTAATAATCCTGTAACAACCCGAATATTTACAAAATAATATTTAATTGAAATTGGAGGTTAATTGTGAAAATTGGTAAATTGTTGGTGACTAAATCAAAATTTATGAGAGTTTATAGGCCATTTTAGAAGTGAAGGAAATCCAAGGACCAAGCCTTGAATTTACCCTAAAACTGTCGGCAGCTTTGATTATAAGCGTACATTTGGTTCTGATTTTCAGAACCAAAATGCTCCCAATTTTCCTTTCTCATACGCAGTTTCCAACTCCGATTCCGACGCCGTCCAAATTCGATATCGTTTTAAAACCACCGTTGTGTTCATCATCGAGCGAGGAACAAACCCTTCAAATTAATTGAAGCGAAACGCGGCCAAACGTCGGGAATTTCCAGTCAAAGTAGCGACGGTTTTGTTAGCTCTATCGCCGAGGAAATCTTAAATTCACCGCTGATCGTTGCTCTGTTTACGACACCTCCCGCACCATCGTGTTCCTTGTGCCGTTCCGAGTTCACCGGTGTCAACCTTGTCCGCCGTAGACGGCGGCGCGTGAGGAGGTGGTGCAGTCAAAGATTCGGCCGATTTGAAATCGAGCTCTCCGCCGTTCAAAATTTGAACGATCGTTGTAAGTATCTCGAAATCGCTCAAAATAATTTTTAGAAATTTTTCCGGGATTTTAGGGCCCCGGAGGACGCCTCACGCGCCACACGCGCCGCCGTAGGGCGAGTGGCTGCTGGAAACCGGTTTAACGGTTTTCAACCGGTTCTGACCGGTTTGACCGGTTTCAACCGGTTCGAACCGGTTTGACCGGTCTGAACCGGTTTGACCGGTCTGACCCGACCCGACCGTTGACCCGACCCGACCCGACCGTTGACCCGACCCGACCCGACCGTTGACCCGACCCGACCGTTGACCGTTGACCGTTGACTTTCTTTGACCAAAACTTAAAATGGCTTTGACCGAGCATTAAACGACCATTAATCTTTTCCGAGTATACCTATCCTGATAGTTTTCGACGTGCCGAATCCGTTTCCATGGTCCGTTTGTCAAATTCGAATCCGAAGGTCTCCAAATCTACGGTCAAAGTGGTTGACTTTGACTTTGACCAAGAATTTAAATTTTCAGAAAGTCATACTTTATGTTTTTCGACGCCCTGATTCCGATTCCGCAATCCGTTTGGCCAAATTCAGACTCAAAATACCTCAAATTGATAGTCAAACCCGAAAAATGCTTATATAGTTAAGAAGTTTAGCTTTGAACAATTAAATAGGATTTGAGACTGATAAATATTATTGTTTGAAGGTACAAGAGACTCTCCGGATCGTTCGACAGCTCGACCCAGCTCTTCTAGATCAGTTAAACCACGTGTACCAGTATCACCCGTTCGAAAACTGAGCAGAGCGTGGTGAAACCAGCAATCAGTAGATTGTTATTTGAATCTATTGTCGAGGTGTGTTCCCTACTTATTACTGAACTGTTTTATTGGTTTTAATATGTGGTACACCGAATTCATTGGTTATTGTTTATTGATGCACCAATTTAATGTGACAATTTATGGAATATGGTTGCTATCTAATTTTTGTTTTGAAATGGATATGATTACCATGTTTTTGGATTTATGGAATTTGTGTCACGGTGCAATTGAATTTTGGAATTGAATTACGATGGAATAGCTCTGATCAAGCTAACTGGGCCTAATGTGACTCTTGAGGGCCCCAAGATGTTTCATTAGGTCGGCTTTCCTTTGCTGTGTGCTTAGGGTAAGCTATATGGACTTATTGGCTTGGGCTTAAGGATACAAGCTTCAGAGCCTATCCTTAAGTCGGCTTTCTTTTTGCTATGTGCATAAAGTAAGCTATATGGAAAATAATTTTGGGAACTACTAATGGTGTACCGGAAAAGGGTTTAAACTATGATTTTCAAAAAGTTAAACTCTTTTATGAATTTGTGAGATTACTGGACTATGATTGTACCTATTGTGATTTTATGGAAATGTTGGGACACACTGAGCCTAGCTCACCTTTGAAAATGTTTCCCCTTTCAGATACTGTTGGTTAGATACCTTGGTTCGAGCACTTGGAGGATCAAACATATCTCTTGAAGTAAATCAGATTGTAATTTTTATCTGGCAAGTTGACTTTATTTTGGTGACATGGACCTTATTTTAAAATATCGGATTTTAATGATAACTCTTTGCTAATACTGCTCGGTTTATTGTGATATTGAATTTGAAGACATGTTTTAAATTAAATTATTATTTATTAGTACTATATTTACGAGTTGGATTTTGATAGTATAATTTGTTTATAATTTCAGGTTATTTATAATGTGATTTTATATTGATGGAATAACGGTTTCGCAAAAATGTATTTAATAATCATAATGTGATCCACTAGACTTAGTCGAAACGCATAGGCCGGGTTTAGGGGGTTACAAATCCCCACTTCAGATACACTGCCTTTCTTTCCCTCTTTCTTTCTCTATGGTTTTTGTTACAACTCTTTTGGTTCCCACCCACAAAAACCACGCGCCTTGTTACCCCAACAACGTCAAAGTCATTGTCCGGGAAATGCAACGGAGATGTCTTGATTTATGTGTACGATTTGCCGGCCGAGTTTAACCTCGGCCTTCTCGACGACTGCAGCCATTTGAATGTTTACACCAATATGTGTCCCCATGTGGCTAACAACGGTCTAGGCCAGCCACTGTCCAACGTGAACCTTGGGTGGGACTCGGGTGAGTCCAACTCAAACCCCTGGTTCGCCACCCACCAGTTCATAGCAGAGATGATATTCCACGCTCGTGTGGAGAACCACCCGTGTCGCACGTGGGATCCCACGAGGGCTGATCTCTTCTACGTCCCTTTCTACGGCGGTCTGCATGTATCCAGCAAGTTCTGCGAGCAGAACCACACGATTCGGGACGCTTTAGCCGTAAGATTGGTGGACTACCTGCAGGAACAACCCACGTGGCGCAAGAATAACGGCAAGGACCACTTCATTGCTCTAGGTAGAACCTCGTGGGACTTCATGAGAACCGACGGTGGATCCGACTTTGGAGCAAACTGTCTTCTCAATATGCCATGCGTAAAAAACATGTCGGTGCTGACCGTGGAGAGGAATCCGTGGAAGGGTTCAAACCACACGGCATCCCCTACCCTTCATACTTCCACCCCTCCACGTCGGACCAAATGCTGATGTGGCAGCGCATGGTTCGGCGTTCAAACCGGCCCTACTTGTTTTCCTTCATTGGAGCCCCACGTAAGGGAGTTGGTAAAGCAGCCATTAGGGACGAAATGATAAAGCAATGCATGGAGTCCACACAATGCAAGCTGCTCAAATGTGATAATGGGAACCCCAAGTGCTACAGCCCTAGCGAGATTCTAAAAGTGATGAGAGAATCCCAGTTTTGCCTACAAGCTCCGGGGGATTCTTTCACCCGACGCTCGACATTCGACGCTATCCTTTCGGGTTGTATCCCGGTGTTCTTTTCACGACACACGGCGTATACTCAATATGCTTGGTTTTTGCCCGAGGAGGCCTCGGAGTACTCGGTTTACATCGAAGAGCAAGGCGACGAAAGTAAGAGAATAAAAGATGTGTTGATGAAGATACCGAAAGAAGATGTGGAGAAGATGAGAGGTAGGGTGATTGACATGATCCCAAGGCTCACTTACGCACACCCCAATGCGAGTAACAGCGATATTGGTTTTGAGGATGCCGTGGACGTTGCGCTTAAAGCATTGGCACGGCATGTGAGGAACATGAGACTATAATGCGTAAAGGATAAAAACAATAAAATTATTTAGTCTTCCTATTTGATGAATATCGTCTCTATATGCACGCACTTTAGGGTTGAGTTTATACAACCAAGGGTGATTTGACAAGTCCTTTATCAAAAATTGGATAAGAATTAATAAGTGTAATATTGTAAATCCTCCCTTTCTTGGGCCTGAAAATTCATTAAGCCCTTCATCACTGTGCGTCTCATTTACACGTCTTTTCAATCATTTTCGTCACTTTATCAATTAGATAGAGTTTTCAGTCTAAATAATGGGATACCAACTTTTGCCTATTTCATTGTATTTCTTAGAAGAAATCTTCACAGATATTCATAGATAAAACAAAAAGGAAATAAACAATCTTCACACTTATGAGTAAACGAGGAAGAAACTTGTGATAAACTTAAAGGAGATTTGCTGTTACCATTTATAATTTAAGGGGCAGATGAATATGCCTCTGAAGAAACATTACCACCCTCTTCAACTTTCTTCAAGCCATCTCCAATCTTATTCTCTGCCGACTGCTTGGCCGTATCGTAAGATGCGTGTAATCCGAATAAGAAATAGTACACCAACAGCACAATAGTCCATATACCAAACCTCGCAAAAGATGCTCCCTCTATTGAGCCCAACAGGAAAATATTAATAGCAATGGAAGCTGATGGCAACCATGGTACCAACGGTACGCCCCACAGTTTCGGATTCCTAGCTTGGGGAACTGATACTTGAAGTGCTAGAGTAGCTAAGAACCAAATTGGCACGGTGATCACATAAGCAATCCAATCATTTTCGTCGCTTAGACCCCAATAAGCTGTTGCAATTGAAGACGCAAGCATGAACACGATGCAAGCAATTAGCTTGTTACGGTTTGTTGTAGTCGTCTCGCCACTGAATAACGGCGAACAAGAAGAGCCAGAGCCACAAGCATGAAAATGAACAATGTTGATATTGATAAAAGATCAGCAAGAATCGGAAGATCTGTAAAGAAGGCAATAATTGCCGTTGCGGTAAGCATGACGACGGTAGCATTAATTGGCGTCCCGGTCTTGGGATGCACTTGTGCTAGCCATGGTGGCATCATGTGAGTTCGTGCAATATGTGTTAGATACCGTGCTTGACCAACGGCACCGACGAGTAACACAGTTGTCATTCCTTTCAATGCACCAGCAGCAACAACGTACTTAGCCCAAGACATACCAGCGGCTTCAAATGCTACTGAAAAGGGGGCATCCGGGTCAATATTACCGAATGGTTGCATTAGGCATAATGCTACAGCCAGCAAACAATATGCAGCTGTGGTTATTACCATCGATCCAACAAGACCAATGGGGATATCACGAGCAGGGTTCTTAGTCTCTTCGGCCATCGTTGACACAGCATCAAAACCGACATACGCAAAGAAAAGCACAGCTGAAGACTTGAAAATGCCACGAACACCAAAGGGAGTGAAATTGGTGTAGTTTTTGGTGTCTGCTTTTACAAAACCAGCAATGATTATGAAGAGAATGACGACAACATGGATAATGGAAGCAATGTAATTGAAGCGTGATGAGCCCTTGGTGCTAAGTACAGCAAGGACACAGATGACACACACAACGACAACTGCAATAGGATCGAGATGGCCATAGTCGGCGGACATGCTATGGACTATGATGCGGAAATCATCGGGGTGGTGATTGCAAAGGGTGGCAAAATAGGAAGTCCATGACCGGGCAACCGCAGCACCTCCAATAACATACTCAAGGAGGATATTACCAGCAGCAATGAAGGCCATGAAATCACCCAACTCCACTCTAAGGTAGGCAAACGACCACCTGAAAAGGGTAAATGTTTAAAATATTGCTAGGTCATGTGTATTCCACAGGTAAAGTTTGTCAATAAATACATCATCTTTGCTAATCTGAACGCTTAGAAATGTAATGCTAAGTTTCTAACACGTGTCAGATTCTTATCTTCCTACACAACCTGCGTCCCACTCCAAGCTAGAAAAAGCTATTTTTCCATATGAAGTCAAAAGTCAACTTTTCTATACAATATGCCAAATGGACACATACTGAATCTTCGGCCATATTCTTTGAATCCTTTGTTTTTTCTACCAAGTAAGACTTTTCAAAGCAAGTGAAAAGGAAGGAGTTTTCTATAGATATTAACAAAAGCAAAATATAATTCAGCTTAAAGTTCCAGACTTGGTTTAAAAATTTCAAGATAATTTAGTATTAGTGTTTACCTGCAACGGGAATTTCAACGGCGAACTCAGTGTAGCAAAATACAGAAAGCATGGCCGAGATACCAGACACGACGTAGGATATAACGACGGCGGGACCTGAAACTTCTCTGGCTTGGATTCCGGTAAGAACGAAAATGCCAGCTCCGATGACAGCACCGATACCGAACCACATGAGGTCCCACCAGGAGAGGGTCTTCTTCATCTCATGCTGGCTCCGAGCCTTGATTTCGTGGAGCTCCGTCGAGTCAAGCGATCGGGTGAGCACCCGGTCCATGAACCTGGTCGGAGTTTCCTTGATCGCTTGGACATAGTTACCCCAGCTCTTAAACGATTCTTCAGGAAGAAAATCATCCTTTGCGCATGAACATCCTCGTCTCCTCACACCTTCGTCCAACCCCATCCTATTTTCCACCACAAAAAAAGGGGAGAATAAGTTGATTAATTTTCTCAGCCTTTCCCTTAAGCCAAACAGAGAGAGAGAGAGATAGAGAGCATAATATGTATGTAACTAAATGAAACAGGATCTTTATAAGTGGAAAAAGATGGCCAAAGAGACAGACTGGGATTGTTAAAGAAACGGAAAAACTAATTAAGGTAGAAGATTTATTCGGACAAAAATAAAACAAAGCAAGGACTGTATCTCAAATCCCAATCGCATCTTTATTAATTAAAAGGTTACTAAAAGTACTTGGATAACGAATCCAAAATATAAAAGAACAGTTTTTTCCAATGAAATAATATTAAAGAAAAACTTACTTGGAAAAAGATCTAAACGGATGATAACCCGGTTTAAGTTAGAAGTTAAGGGATCGCCGGCGATTATCTATACGGTTGCCGCCGATGGCACAGTGTGAGAAGAAAGAAAAGAAGAGGTGTTGAAGGCGGGAAATGCGTGAGAGGTGTTGTCTTTATTTATATCGAAGAAGGGCATTCACGGGCTGTTTCCGGTTAATGTTGAAAAGTCAAGTTTGGTAAAAGACAGTGTTTCTTACTGTTTCACTCTTTTTTACCTTTACTGTGTAATTATGAGAGGCACTATACGAAATTAATGGATGTAGCTGTCTTAAAATTGGAAAAGAGCGATTGTAGTATACGTATTGTATCTACACGTCGATTGAATGGTAAAATTTAATATAATCATTTAAAAATTATAAAACTAAAAAAATGTAAAAGTTATAATAAAAATATTATTTTGTTGTCAGTTAATTCATTGAAAGAACACAAGAAAAGAAAAGTAAATTTTTAAAAGTTAAAAGATTAAGAATATTAATAAACCTAAGACTGTACATAAAGTCAAAGCACAGGTCATGTGGAGAACGTATCCTTCTTTATTAAAATATGATAGCAGCGGATATTTGTGGTGGAGAACGGAGGTGTTGACTTCATGAATGTGAAAGCGAGCTCATTGTAAACCCCATAATTGCCGTATAAAGAGAATTAGGTTCACCAATTAATGTGCTTAATTTAATTCTAAATGTATATATATGTGTGTAGGCATTATAAAGAAAAGATTGAGATTATAGAGAGGATAACAACTAATTATGGGTTGAAGCAATAGACGTTAATAGCGGATAATACTTGTTATCATTTTAAGAATAAAGTCATATCAACTTCTAATTCAGTTGAATTTTAAAGAATATTTTTAAATCCAAAACTCATAGAAGAGAATAATTGATTTAAAAATCCAATTAAACTTTAAATATAATCTAAATATAGAAGGTCTAGAGGTGGAATATAAAATAAGCAAATGCAAGTAACTAGTTTCAGGGGAAGAAAATAACAAATCCATTTGCGAGAGGAAAGATAAGGTGGAAAAGTAAGCAGCTATGGTTTGACTAACGGGTACCAAGGAAGACGAAATGTATATGTGCCTCTACCATTGAACTTCCAAAAGAATATTGAGAAAAACTGAAATAATATGAGTTACGGAGTATTTGTCTTGTTTCTATCTTTAACAAATTTATAAAGCAGCTTATTGGCTGGTTAAAGAAAAGAAGGTATAAACACAAATTACATCCAGTGGGGAAGAAAAAAAGCTATGTGAATATAGTTACAACATCTCTGCGATATCCTCTTACCATCAACAGCCTCTGTACCTTTTCCACCAACAAATCCATGTAGCCGTAGGCCGGGTAGTTGAGAGGTGGGGGTAAACTTACAAGCACCACTGCCGTCATTCTTGAATATATTAATATTGTGGAATTCAGCTTCAGCGTTGTATACAGAAACTTTTCCACTTGTTGCTCGTCCACCACTACATTCTTTCCATCGGCCATCAAAGGCTTTCCTTGTCGCTTTGCTGTTTCCTTATTTCTGCCAAATAACTAGATACCCGCTTCCAAGCATCACTAAATGCCTCCAACGGCTCAGATCCACCCTCCGAATCCCACGACTTAATCGTTATAACAATCACTTCGGCTTGCATCCGAAGATCGTATAGGAACTTCCTCACATCAGCCATGAGGACCTCTGCATCAAAATCCTCCTCCGCAATGCACAAGACCTGAATCTTACAGCTCTCAAAGCTCCCTTTTGTAAGAAGAAGTTACGACAGAAGCAGCATGAGGCCGCCATCTACTCTTCCGATCATCCCCACACAAAACCCGAAAACCTAAAATTTTTCCTAAAAAAATTAAATCCAGATTTGAGGATTAAACCAAATCAGAGACTAAAAACTTAAGCTTTTTTTTCTTTCGAAGCTTCAATCAACACTTCTCCGAAATAGACTCCGAAGAAAAACCTTGGCTTCGGTACAACCCACTCTTCTTTACATTTTTATGCTTATTTAACTTACTTTTTTTATTTAAAAAAATAAAATACAAAGCTGAAAAAAAATAAACCAAATGTAAAATAACCTTTATAGTGCATTTTATTTATGACTTTCTTTGTGTATTTTGCTAGATCTCTCCTCTGTAAAATTTTCATTTTTCCTGAGATTTTTATAGCCCTAGTTTACATGTAAAATAACATAAAATTTACACTATTTTTCGTGATGATAAGTTGATTTGGGACGTGGATGGTATTCAGGAGGCCATGGGTGTGGAGGCAACGTGGAACATTTGAGTCCACATGCGTGGTGGCTGAGCTAGAACGAGGAGGGGCAGTTGGCTCCTACTGGAAGCTGCTGGAATATTGCTGTGGTGGAGGGACAGTTAGTATTCCTCTGGAAGTTGCTGGAATCATCACTAGAACTGTAACGTGGAGGGACACTGATGTTCAGTTGGAAGTTGTTGGAATCGTCGGCTGGAGCTGCAACGTGGAGGCTGCTGTTGAGGTAAAAATGGTGATTACAGCTTCACACTAGAATGTAAAGTACTTTGCCCTACATGAGCAATTTTAACACCATCACCATTGCCCATGTGCAAAGCATTATCACCTGTATACACCATACCTGAGTGAAAAAAGATGGATCATTAGTCACATGATGAGTAGCACCAGTGTCAGGATACCAAACAGGATCACTTGTAGGCTTCAAGAAAGACTGAGCACCAGAAGACGAACGCATGGAAACAAAAGTTGCAGGCGTCGAGGGTGCCAAAAATGGATTCTGACCAACTACAGAAGAACTTGAGGCATCATTAGAGAAACCAACTGAAAATCCAGAGGACGGATAATAACCAAAAGTTGTTGGGGAACAAAAAGAAACATCAGGAACTATCGAATAAGCTGGATATAGGTAAGAATGAGGAGCAAAAACAAAACTAGGATGTGAAACCGTATTCACTGCATGATTATACACCCCTGCATAAGGTTGTTGTTGATCTACCCCCGAACCATTCGATCGTTTTGAATAATTTCTAGCTGATGTACCAGAATCAGCAACACCCGTATAATCACGATCAAAACGGTGATAACATTTATGAACAACATGACCAAACTTACCATACAACTAACATTATGGTCTGTTGGAGTTATAATTTCGCCCACGACCTCGACCTCGATAACCACCTCCCTACTGACCACGCACCTGAGAGGAATGGTCATCGGAAGAGCCTTTTACACTCAACTCATAATTAAATTGAACTGAACAACATTGGCCAAAATTCCTTCACCCAAAAACATCTTCTGTCGGGCCTCACAATCAAGTAACATCTCAGTGAGAGTATCCAACGATACTTCCTATCTAGAAGCTATAGTAATTACAGACTCAAATTCCATAGTTAAGCCATCTAAAATAACACTAACATGTTCTTGTTCAGTTACAATACTTCCAGAAGCATTTAACATATCACAAACAGCTTTGACCTTTGCTAAGAATTTATGAACAGACAAACCTGATTTCTTTTGAGAATGCAAAGTATGGCAAAGTGATGAAATTTTTGCACTGGATTATGCACCAAACAAACGAGTCGCAACATTCCAAATAGCAGCTGCAGACGTAAGACCAGTAAGATGAGGCAAAATCTCCATACTTACAATGGTTAGCAACCAGGAGGCAAGTAGCTTATCTTGTTGCCTAAATAACAAAAATTTTGGATTTTCCTCAAGTTGCCCAACATCATTAGTAATAAATTCATTTGGAGCGACTATATTAGAGGAAATAAACTTCAACAAACCATAAACATCAATGATTAAAGACACTTGATGTTTTCACAACAAATACGTATTCTCAGTGAGTTTAACTGTATCATGTTTAGGTATATGTTGAATGGAGCTTATACAAGCAACACTGCAACTCATATGAGATTTAATCTGTGAAGCATTCTCATAACGAGTTGGATCAACCATAAGATCAACCATGTTAAACAACACTAGAAAGAAACACATATCTGATCTCAAGAAATCAAAGAAAACTGAAAACCCGATTCAAGAATCAAAACACGATAGTGCAAAGAAAACCAAGTACGAACACCTGAGCTTCATAACTGTCAGCAAGAAGATACACCACAACAGCACCAAGAATTAGCGACTAATACCATGTTATGATATAAATCCAGCTACTAAGTATAGCAGAAACAAGAGAGAAAGTAAAAGAAAACTTTGCATCTTATTATGAGAATTACTTGTGTACATGAGTGAAAGCTAACAACTTATTTATAACAACTATTAACAAATTCTACTCTTAACTAACTCATAACAACCTTTAATCAGCTTATAACTACTCAACTGAAACTAACTCCATTCTTCACACTAACATTCTCCATGTTGTTCATATACACTAACATTCCCCATGCAATCCACATCTTCAGCTTGACACGTCCATTAACATTCTTCATGCTGTTCATATACACTAACACCCCTTTCCCATGTGTACCACTTCCCTTTATAACCAAGATCAACAAGATCACAGTCAAGAAGAGTGTCTCAAAATTTATTCATTCTATGGGAGGATCTAATACGGCCAACCCTTTTCTCGCTTGCCAACAAAATCTCATTAAAATCCCCTACACAGATCCAAGGGAGGTCACGACCAGTACTAAGTTGTCGAAGACGGTTCCATGAAGTAGCCCTTTGGCTCTCAATGGGGCTGCAATAGAAACCTGTAAACCTCCAAGAAGTGGGACAATCTGGATCAATAATTTTACATCAATACGCGACGAAGAATAACTAATAAGAGAAACCTGCAGATGTTGCGACCAACATAGAGAAAGACCACCTCGAGAACCATCAGTAGCAACATAAAAACCGAATTGAAAGCCACAACTCCTTCTAATTCTCTCTATTCTTTTAGCCGAAATTTTTGTTTCCATAAGAAACATAATTTGGGGACGAACCTCTCTCAGTTTATTTCTGAGACGTCTAACTGCCCGTAGCTTCCCCAAACCATAGACATTCCAGCTAATAGTTTTCATTGCGGACGGCTGACCTGGTTAATAAGGCCTGCCGATAACAAAGGTAAGACATCATTTGAAACTACTGAATTAAAAA